GGGGGGGGGGGGGGGGGGGGGGACTGGGTTGGACATGAACGTTTTTTTTCTCTCGGTTGTGCATGATTTTATTGGTGGGCAATAGTTTGTGCAAGAATTTTTTACCAGGAGAAATCAAAATAATTATGATAGTAGTAAGCACTTGCTCGATTTTAACCATAACTCCCCTTGCCCGAATTTCTTTCTGTTTTTTTTTTCCAGCAGCTTTTGGTGTGCAGGACCCTTTTAAGAAATTGCCCATTGCTNCCCCCCCCCTCTCAAAAAGATAATGTTGCGTCCCGGAAGGACAAGGCTGGAACTATTTGGACTGTTCAGCAAAATTAGATGTAGCCTCTTCCAGGCTCTCGGTAGTTGGGGTTAGATGTCAAAGGTTTCTTCAAAACTGACTAAATCCACTTGCGCGCAATGTAATACTTGTCCTTTCATCTACTACATGGCACCGAGCAGGATGGAACCTACCACGCACTGAGCTACTTATCCCGGCTACTTATTAAGGTGTTAAATGTTAGCGAGAAGCTAGCGGCTCGAACTGCTCGCCGCGCAACTTGCTTTTACGCCACGACTGCGGTTTAATATCTTTCGAAAGACTCATTGTCCAATCTTTCATTTGTGAAACAGAAAAATCCGGTTGTTTTCTCATCACTCTTACGCGTGTTAGGTAAAATACTTGGCCGATTGGAGCCTGGAACTGAATCTTCGGGAACTACATACGGGATATGTTGCTCGTCGAAGGTCCTCTTTCGTCCTCCATGTTTGCAGGTTGGTACGGGAAAAGGTCTTTGAAATCCTTGTTAATCTCATTATTATAAGGCCATCGACACTAACTTATCATTGTATGATTTTCATTTGATAACAGTGAACTAGAGGACAACAATATGAGAGACAAGGTAAATACTGCTCACTAGAAAAAAGACTCCTATTTGTGACAAAGACTGTTGTCAGCTGTTGTGTGCATGAGGTTTTCTAAATTGTTAATCGTATCTTTTTCTTTTGCTCTCATTTCAGTGGAGGAAAAAGCGTATGCGAAGGTTAGTGCATAAAATTTTTACGCTTAATTGATAGTCTTTACTTTTACGATAGCAAAGACACTACAACCAAATGAAACGATCCTTAAGGCGGTATGAACTTCGTCTACACTGCTTTCGCAGATTATTTCATCGATGCAGCTTAATGTAAACTTATTTGTAAGCTTAAATTTCTGTGACTTCTCTACTCGATAAGTGTCGTTGGTAAAAGCTTGAAACACCTTGTAAACTGTTCTAGCTATAAATCGAGACGCAATAAATTTGCATTTCGAAATTTCCGTCACCTGACCTTCTGCTAGCTCTGGTAACGATTTAAATTTCCTTTATCGTAATATTCTTGCTGCTACCAGCATTCAACGAATGATGTCCAGCTACCCCCTCCCCTTTACAAATCTGCAACATTGTCGCCCAAAGTTACAACGTTACATCAAAAATTGGCTTTCGTAAACGTAGCTCAGACTGTGAAAAGAGTAAGTTCACCTTTCTGCAAGCTACAACTTATCCCAGTGACTTGCATTAATTATTGTTCTTACTTACTGGCTGCAAGGAATTCTTGTGAACTGAAAATAAGTCTTGTAGTGTCTTTTTGAGGAGTTGATTTTGCCGTCATGTGGTTTGCATTTGCTGATAACACACAATCCATTTATTTACTTGCTAGACTGAAGCGCAAAAGGAGAAAGATGCGAGCAAGATCCAAGTAGATGCAGACGTGATAGCAGGGATGGTGGCTTTACACAAGTTGTGTCCTGTACAAGATTGTGGTCAGACATGATGGCCTTAAACCTATGGAATAATTTCACCAGTCTTCAATCACTATTCACAAAGTCCTCAATAACTGTGGCTTCCTGGAAATTAAAGTGGGTTCCAGTTGAGACGTAGAATATTATTGAAAGCATCAAGAACAAGTTGTATTATTCCAATGGACATAATGGCTTGATTACCTCTGAACATGAATTTTACCATCAATGGAAATGGCAGTGTGTCGTCAGTCATCCCTCTGTCAAATTTTGTATTAACCCTGTTATGGAGTCATTAAAAATAGAGTTTTTGCTCATATCTTTATTTAGTGTACTTATAAAACCATAATGTGCTCTTAGCCATTTTGTGGCTTTTCAACAGCTTGGCTTATCTTGTCAGCAGTCAAACCAGGTTTAAGATAAGGTTTGGAAAATATGATTTGATGAGCAAACGGTGGAATACCTTCAATCTGCTTTCATTAACGTTTTCACAGGAGGGCAACTGGTTTTCACAAGTGAGTAAAGTAACACACTGCTCTCTGACTGGGACTACACCTTAAATTCCATTTTGCGACTAGAACAAAGATTGAAATAAACAGTGCATCCACGAGAACTTATGATTTGTCAACGAATTAGGAAATTGTCGCTTTGTCATGGTTCTTTCATCTTGCCCCTGTTTTGTGCTGTCATACTTTTCATTTCAAGAAGAAATTTAAGTTGTTCTGCCAGTGGGGTTTATTCATCACGGAAAAAAAAATTCCACCATCCCTTGCTGAAACTGTTTACATGTGACCTGAGACACGGAAAGAAAATGTGCGTGTTGCCAAGAAGAAGGTCTGCGAGAAAATGGCTTGCATCCCTGAGATATTTTTGTCTACTTTATTCTGAAACCACAACATGTTAACCAATAAACTGTTGTCGAAAGGTGCAGTTTGTACAGGGAAATATTGTAACAGTTCGGATAAAGATACCCTGTGAGACAGGTTCCCTTCTCCGGGCAGAAAGAGAAGGGAACTCCTGTCTCGCAGGGTAGGATAAAGATGATACCCACGACGGCCGAAGGTAGGGAGACTGGGAAAGAGGACTTCCCCTTCGCGTTTCCTCCACCCCTCCCCTACCCCTTCCCCGTTTACCCAAGCACGGATCAAAATTAACCCGGAAACCACATTTATCTGAACCGCTAAAAAATTCCGTGTAGCGGAAATGGGCCTCACTATACAAATGTAATGACTGCGATTGTCTTGATTGAACTCAATGAGATTCGTCTTCTCAAAACAGCTGTTTATTTCTCAGTTTACGTGTAATTACCTTTTGAAGATATTCAAAAACGGCGTTAAAGTTCTTTTGAAATCGCGCATCATGTAATTCCTATGTTTTGGCTTACATCAGAATTTGAAAGTACTTTAATTCCCCAGTCCTCACAAACAAATTAATTTGAATTCTACCTCTGGGAACTCACCATAAGGTCGACAAAGAGATGCGAAATATATCATTCGCCTTTCTAGAATTTGCCGTTTTTTTCTTCGGATTTTCTTGGGCGTAACTCACTCTGAATCAGGCAGTCTCGCTCTACTATATTTTTCTTGAAATAGAGTTACACGAAACGAAGTCGCTTTTCTAAATGGCACGCAAGAGGAACAAAAACGCAAAAAAAGATGAAAAGACGGAGGATTTCTCTCCTCTTAAGAGAATACTGGGTGTTATACTCGCCATGTTTTCGTGCATTTTCTTCGCTTTTTCCTCCCTGCTTGTTAAGCTGCTACAAGAAATTCCGCCTCAAGAGGTAGTCCTTTTTCGCAGCCTGGTTCAAGTCATTTTCGTCCTGCCCCCGTTGATTTCCAGTGAGGTGCCAGTGTTTGGGGACACGAAACATTTGCCGTTCTTGTGTGTTCGCGGCATAGCGGGAACTTTGGCTCTTTGCTGCCAGTTTTACGCCTTTCAGCACATGCCGTTGGCGGATGCTACAGTCATCGTGTTTTCTTCACCCATATTCACTGGTGTACTGGCGCATTTTCTTCTAGGGGAGGCGTGGGGCTTATTTGACGCGCTGGCGACGTTGCTGTGTTTTACCGGCGTGGTTCTCATAGCGAGACCAACGTTTCTGTTTGCGAGACCGTTGGAGCGCGCTAGTGAACAGACCGACTTAGAACAGGTATGGCCGGTTAATTCTTGACGATTCTATTCCATACTCTTGTCGCCTAACTGTTTGAGTGTGTATTGACTGTTTTAGTTTTTTAATCACTGTTGACCAGTTTGTGGTTTGTGACAGTTCCCCATACATACGCAAATATACACCAGGAACCTTGGAAAGTGAATGAGAAATTTCGTGTAAAATCTAGAACTCTGTTTAATCTAATTATAACTTGTGTCGACAGGGAAAAATCTTTACAACCTCAGGTGGCTTATTATGCTTTGCGCCGCTTAGCGCTGTATGTTTGCCATAAATTACTTGCAAAAACTTTCGGACATTTTATCTGGGACATTCAATTTTCGGACACTATTTATCTCATTTTGGACAAATGTCGGACCAAAATTTGGGACACTTTGCTGAAACATAGCAAGGTGAATTTACCCCTACAAAAGACGAACAAGACTAAAACAACATCTGTGAAAATGATACTTTTACTGCACTCTCAAAGTTTTACAGGTACACCGACGAGAAAATAACACAAATTCTATCAAGCCGTTACGCGTCTCAGACAGTGTCTCAACTTAAGTTCGCTCCATAAAGGAATCTAAGGGCTTTGGAACCAGTTAAAAGTTTTTTACTGTTCTGTAAATATTTTGGACGCTTAACAATTTCCTACGGTTTTACTTTCACACACTCTTTTTTTGTCCGAAATTAAAAATCGTCCGAATTTTTGTTACAAGTAATGTAGCTCGGAATGCCTAGGAGTATTGCGAGTTGGGCTTCCCCTGAATGGAGTGCAGCCTCGAGCATTTTTTGTAAGGCCGCGCTTGTTAACAAAATGACGGCCGCTTCTTTGCGTTACGCGAGGTGTCTGCGAAGAGAATTATTTTAAGTTTAGTAGGACTAGTAGATTTATACTAAAACAATTAGATTATTCGCTCTCGATTTCTATGCGTGATAGTTGACTCGGGCTAACCTTCGTCAACTTTCACGTGATAGAAATCTCGAGCTCGTAAGATTTTTGACCAAACAGCCCGCGTATTTTCTTTGGGTTATTTTGTAATCTTTTGATAAACAGTTTCAAACTGACCTTATTTTGGTACAGATCACTGCCAGCTTTGTTGCCTTGTGTGGTGCCATTTTGACCTCCATCGCCCTAATTGCCATCAGGAAGCTTCAAGGGGTCAATTTTTTGGTACCAGTTTTCTATGTGGGCCTCTCCAGTGTGGTCCTCACGACAGGAGCGATCCTTGCATCAGGCTCTTTCCAGAGTGTCATATGCGGGCGCTGGCACGAGTGGTTCCTTTTGGGGCTTGGCGTATGTGGTCTTGGTAAGTGCGCGGGAGGCTATGTTTTGTAGCCAAGTCGTATGTTTCGTTTAAATAAGTGGAAATAAATCGCCGGCGCTCACATGCTCCAGCGAGGCTAATTCGACACAGACTGCAGTAATAGACTCCTCGCGAGCTGGGCTTAATTTGTCTTATAACAATCGCGCGAGACTCCGTATAATTTTGCGGAATTATTCTCCCGTAATGCCCATGGACCCACTACGGGCCTCCAAAAACAAAGCAAAAAGCCATTCATAAATAAATAACTTATTTTAAAACCTCAAACGTTCGGTCTTTACTGGAAAATCTCAAACCTCTGATCTGTACTGATCTGCTATCGCTCGGTCAATACGGCAATTAAGGTCCCGGTTTGAGATTTTCCCGTAAAGACCTCACTCTTGGTTAACAAGTAGTTAATAAAGCAGAACTGACAGCAAATTTTCAAAACAGAATGCAAACTTAAGTTTGTCTTCAAATTCAGTTTATTCAGGCTTTGTTAGCCGTTCTGAAACTAGTTAGCGTTGTTGAATCAAAACGCATTCTCTCCTTACAAGATTTCTTACATTATCTATCGTCATAGACACGAGAAATCGAGAACTTTATTGCTACGTCACGATTTGCGTATCTTGGATACTTAAGCCAAAACTTTTCAAGTTCCTCGTTTGTAATCTGTGTCATTCTTTTCCATCCTTGACTATCCTTGTTTCTTTAGTGTTTATTGTTATCCTTCTGGTGTTTTTCTATCTTTATAAGTTATTATTTCTAGGTTTCGTTCAAACTGAAGATAATTTTGAATCCGATCAAAATAGCTCAAAATACTGTGACTGAGCAGTCTCTAACTTACATGCAAACGACTATTTTTGTAGGTGGCCAGACACTCCTCACCAGATCCTTACAGCTGGAGAAGGCAGGCGTGGTCGCTCTTGTGCGAACACTGGACATCGCTTTAGCCTTCATTTTGCAGCTGCTGTTCTTGGATTACGCCGCTAACATTTATAGCATCGCCGGCGCAGCGCTAGTATTGGGCTGTAATGCGTTGGTAATATTAAACCGCGGCGGGTGCTTGCCAAATAAGCAAGTACCCAAAAGCAACGGGGAGCTACCTGAAGAAAAGCAAAGCCTGATGGGAACGGTTAAACGACAGCTGTATGGAAGAATGCTTGCTAAAAGCTACTAAAATCGAAGTTTTAACCTGAAAGTGCAGTCCTTAAAGAAACTGACCGTAATACATCAAACACTTTGGACAGTGTTTTATCGCATTAACAAACACTGAAAAAAAAGTTGAACTGAATACCACGTTGAGCGGAGCTTTTTTAAAGAAATTCGGAGTATCTGAAATGTGATGAAACACAGTCTCTCGAGTGTTGGATATATCATCCATATCGAAGTTATAACTCGGAGTATAAGGTGAAATAAAATCGTGAAAATCTATGTTTAGAAGAGGTTAGATATCCAAGCCACGTTCATGGCTGTGATTTCCATTGTGTTCGCTTGTTGAACTGTTTACTAAGGGCCGGACCATTATTTTTTCGAGGAGGCTGGGCAATTTTCCGGGCCATAATAATTTTTTTTTGGCTGGGCAATATAGCTTGCGCACGAATTTTTGTAACACAAAAACACAGAACCTGCATGGTAGAAAGAATTTGCTCGATTTTTTTTCCTGCATGACCCCCTTGCATGATTTTTTTCAGCAGTTTTTTTTTTTTGTGAAGGAATTTCTTTCTTGAAAATCATCGCCGCCGCCGCCCCCCCTCCCCCTCCCCCACCCTGCCTTCGTAAAATAATGGTCCGTCCTTCACTAGCGACGGAGTCGTAGTTGGAGTCGTAATCAGAAGCGTAAAGCGATACGATCTAGTGAAAATCAAACCGATGGAGTCAGAAGCAGAACACCGATCCCGCTCATGACTCCGTCGCTTATGATCTAGTGAAAACTGCATTGTCAGAGTCGCAAGAGAAGCGGAAAAATAAACCAATCACAATGTTCGATTCCGGGCCTTGTGATTGGTTGGTTCTTCCGCTTCTGCGTCCGACTCGGACAATCTAGTTTTCATGACTGGATCATATGCGACGGAAGGCTCGATTTCCGGCCCTTTTGGTAGTGCCGCGGAGTCGTAAACGGAATCGGAAGAAATGGAAACGTTCTGATTCTTCTGACTCTTATTGCGTCGAGCTTATGACTCCGCTTACGACTCCAATTTTCGATTTTCACTGGATCGTAAGCTCTCTTACGACTCCGACCTACCATTCCGATTACGACTCCGTCGCTAGTGAAAACCAGCCTTTAGAAGAACAGGTTTGACCACTAACACGAGTTCAACCATTGTCACAAGTATTGAAATACTTATCAGTGAGCTTCTATCAAGAGAGATATTGTGAAAATGTCACAGTTGTTTCAATCCCGTTTCCTATTTGCTATAAACTCAAGGTGATGTCTATAAACCCTACCGCTACCTCTTTACCAAGGTACTGAATTAAAAGGAAACAAGGTTTGACTTGCGTGACTGGCGAACATAGTGATCAATGGTCAAGAAGTGCGTGACATTTGCACGCATTGCATGCCTATTGGCAACCCGCGAAACCTGGTTCAAGTAACACCTGACGCTTTTCTCTACTTCCAAGATCAAACATGGATTCTTTCCAAGCTAAGGACAAGACTTGGCTTGGAGTAGACGCACTTTTACACGATTTTCAAAATATAATCGACGATCAAGACACCGCAGATGTTTTGTTCCTAGTTGGACAAGGAGAAACTGCAATATATGCTCACAGATTGATTCTGGTAGCAAGATGTAGGCACTTTCAGAATCGCAAGAGGGAGTTGTGGTCCTCCAAGTCAGTTCATTCGCAGCTTACAGTAAGAAAGCCCGAATTCCGACCTGATGTGTTCCGTGAAGTTTTGACGTTCGTTTACACGGGAAAGGTAATTCTAAAACGATAATTTTTAATAACAGTTGATATACTTGTAATTTCTTTATATACAAATCGGGTGTAAAGATTTGTAAACATTCTTAGATATTATGTTTGTTTATGAAGTGTTTTGAAACTTCTTGGCATCTCGAGTTTGAGAGGAGGACATTTTAAAACGCACTTAATTTATTCCTACGTATGAAATATGTTTGAACTAACATACAGGAATTCTGACTACACAACATGAGACATTCAATGTGACTAGTTTATTGAGGATGCATCAGTCAGTCATCTGATGTAGATGTATTCCATCTTACATCACAATCTGTATCCTTGCAAATTGCATCTACTGGTGCTAACAATAATTTAGAACCTGTGCTATGCAAGATATGAAAAACCACTAAAAAAGCACCCTTTATATGTGGCCAAAAAGAATATGTGAAAACATAATTCTCATCTAATGCAGCAGCACAAGACCCCAAGGAAAAGGTGCAGAATCAGTAATTTACAATTATCTATGCACAAGCTGTTATAACAAAAGCAAAACAAAAAATTGGTTTGGTGCATCAATTAGCACACCCTCAGGAGCTGCAGACTAAATGTAATGGCAAGGAACAGGGTTTTAATTAAACAGAATCCAGGTCCAAATATTTTTTCTTAATTCTTAATTTAGGACTAAATGTGAATAAAGTTAGACTTGGTATGGTGTCATAATGATTTTCAAAATGTAAAGAGGCAAATATACAAAAACTGATTACGTTATATTAGGTTGAACTTCATAGTCGCACAGCCTTAGAGATGCTGAGGATTGCCGAAGACCTAGAAATAACAGATTTAAAGTTGGCGTGTGAACAATATTTCATGGATAATCTTAGTATAGAAAATGCAGCAGAGTTTCTAGCAGATGCTATGTCTCTGTCAAGAGGAGTTGATTTTGGAGGAATGTCATCTTTGGTGGACAAATGCACTGGATTTATGGAGGAGAATGCGGAAGAAGTTGTAAAAACTGAAGGCTTCCTTCTCCTTCCAAAGCCGGCGATGATAAGACTTGTGTCAAGTGACCAGGTGACACTTTGCTTCTATTTGTGATATTGAGGCTCTTCTGTTGTTTTTTTGTT